CCTCTGCAGGTGGGTCCGCGATCCTGCCCGAGGTGGGGGGCGCGATGGGGCCAGGGCACCAGGACACCTGTGGCCTCTGCCATCGTTCACTCCCCAGGAACCCGGAGAACCTGGAGGCCGGCTGGGGGAAGGTGCTGGTGTCCCGCGTGCTGGCACTGCTGACCCGGATGGTGGCCAAGGTGAGGGGGCTCCCCCTGGGGGCGGGACAGGTGGTAGCCACCACCCAGCTGACCCCTTCCACCTGCTCCGCACACCCACAGCTGAAAGGGCGCTGGCCACTGCCAGAGGGCCCTGGCCCGGAGCTGGAGGAGGTGGTGGCCCTGCATGCCCTCCTCCTCTGTGAGGGCCTCTTTGACCCCTACCAGACCTGGCGGCGCCAGCACCGCGGGTGAGAACGGAGGGGCTGGGAGAGGGTGCGGGTGGCATGGGGGCTGTGGCCAAGGTGTGGAGGTGGGAGGGGCTGTGTCCTGGCTGGCACAGGGGTGGGGGGTGTGGAGGGTAGGGGGGCATGACCCAGGAGGGGTGAAGTGCCCAGCCTCACCCGGCCCCCTGCCCCCATCGCCACCCCAGGGAAGTCATCAGTGCCAAGGAGAAGAGCAAGTACAAGTTCCCTCCTGCTGCTTTGCCTGCTGAATTTGGAGCCTTCTTCGCAGGTCAGGCCACGCCCCTGCCCTGCTTGGCCCCGCCCCCAAGCCTGTCCTCCTGCCTGCAGTTTCCTCCTGGGACGCTGGACAGGACCAGCTTAGCCATGGCTGCAGTCGGGAGGGAGAGCTCTGCCCGGTTGAGGGCTTCGGGGCAGAGAGGAGAGAAAGGGCAAGCCTGGGAAAGATGAGTAATTTCTGGGCTGCAGAGAAGGCCTGGCATCAGGCGGGGACACTGATTTCCCTTCCCCCTTCCCTCCCATCTCCTGGGTCCCCCCAACCACCTGTACCCCACTCTGACCTGGACCACCATAAAACCATCCCTAGTCCAGCCCTTTGTCCCTGGAGCCTCCACCTGGTTGGCACCCTCCTCAGGACAACGTCTACACTAGCTGTTACCTCCACTTCCTCCTCCCTCCGTCCTGGAGGAGCTGACCCCCCAGGTGGCCACCTGCTCTCCCTGGGGAACCCCTTCTCCTGGGTCCCCTCTCCTGTCATCAGAGAGAGACTGGCCAGTGCTGTAGGTGGGCCCGGGCAGGGTGCTGCGGGATGGGGGCAGTGAGCTTGGGAGGGTGTTTTCTGTTGGGATAGAAAGTATGTCCTTGCCCTAGCCAGTGTGGCTCAGTGGATAGAGCGTCGGCCTGCGGACCGAGGGTCCCGGGTTCGATTCCGGTCAAGGGCACGGACCTCGGTTGCAGGCTTCTTCCCAGCCTGGGCCCTCGTCGTGGCTTGTGCAGGAGGCAACCCATGGATGTGTCTCTCTCACGTCGATGTTTCTCTCTGTCTTTCCCTCTCTCTCCCACTCTCCCTAAAATCAATGGGAAAATGTCCTCGCGGGAGGACTAAAAGAGAAGAAGGCACGTCCTTGTCTCTGATGTCCCTGGAGCTGCTGGCCTGAGCCCGGGGCAGGGACGCAGCTCCAGGAGGGAAGGCACCCCAGGAGCTCCCTGCCTCCCGCCCTGCCCGAGTTCTCTCCGCAGAACAGAACTAAGTCCCTGCCCCAGTCGTGGCCTGACACCTCGGGGTCAAGCCCTGCTCCCCCACGGCCTTCCTCCCCGGCCCCACTGCTCCCTGCACCCCAGCCTGGTCCTGTCCTCTCATTCCTAGAAGGCCACTCGGCAACACCTGCAGGCCTTTGGCCGGTTTCCTCTCCCTGCAAGGCCACCTGCGCTCCAGGCCTCAACTCTAAAGCCCTGTCCCCCCCTCGGCCTCCCACCCCATCCCGCCTGGATCAGGCCAGCCCTGCTCTTGCTCCTCCACCCCCCACGCCACCGTGTGACCCAGGCCGGGCCTTTCTGCTCTCTGGTTTCAGTCTGTGGCCTGGCATCCTGTCCATCCAACGCTGTGAAAGCCCCTAGAAGTCCCAGCAGGGGCAGGGGTGGGGGTGGGGGTGGAGTGAGGGCATCTATACACTAGACACAGGCAGCCCCCCTCCCCCAGCAGGTCACTGGGGGAAGCACCAACTGTCAGGGCAGAGGGACCAGGAGATTTGCATCTGAGGGACTAAAACCTGGGTTTCCATGGGGAAGCGGGAGGGGTGCTCACACAGGGGCTTAGGGTCTAGGGGGCTGGCTCGGCTCTCAGGGTCCTGTTCCTTTTTGAGCTCCCCAGAAAGGGCTGTGTCCCCCTCAGGCCCTTTGGTGGAGAACCATGGCTTTTAAGACCCCTCAGCTCAGAACCAGGTCTCCTCCCTCAGCCCCCACCCCTGGGATCCCACCTGTTTGTAGACCCTGAAGACGCCGAGCCCTGCAAGCTCGGTGACCTTGTCCTGCTTCCCCCCCGACCCCCCTCCCCCTCCAGAGAGCCTGCAGGAGGCAGAGCGCTTGCCTCCCATGCTGCTGCTGCAGCTCATCCACCTCTTTGGGGCCGTCCTGGCAGGAGGGAAGGTAGGCTGGGCGGACCCTGCGGCCAGAGGGTGGCTGTCTCGGGGTCGCCGCTGGAGGAGCCCTTGCCCATTGCCCGTCTCCGTCCCGA